CAGAACAAAGCCTCAGCCTGCGTTTGGACCTTTGACTTTCCTGTCAGAAGAAAGTCAGGAACAGATATTTGCCACTTCCTGAAAACCAGCGGCCGGCTCAGAACGACTTTGGTCAGTTTCTGTGAGGAACTTGCAGCTGTAAGGCGCTGAGCTTTTCCTCTTTGTGACCTCAGCCCAAAACCTTCTTATTTCTACTGCAGTTTTGTTTTTTGTCTGCAGAAAGAACAGCATGTATATCTGCATGTAGTATCCGTATGTCTTTTCAGAGCTCACCAAAAAAAACACAAAGCAATGACCCCTTTTCAGAAAGCGCTCAGCATTTCTTCTGTGTTTTTCCCTTGTCCTGTTCAGCATCAAGGCAAGTAGAATAAATTTCTGACTGCCATAGTTGTGCCAGACAGATTTACTTTTTCAGCAAGGGTCTGGGCCCTCCAGGCCCAGACCCTTGCTGAAAAGGGGTAGGCATCCACCCCTGGCAGAAGGGGAGGCCCTATATTTGTTAAGCCATTCTTGCTACCCAACCCTTGAGATTGGGTAGAAAGCATTTCTGTCTCACAGTCAGCCAGACTGGGTCTCTGCAGCACCAGCTGCTCAGGACAGTGAATGGTTGAACTGGTCGAACCCATTCATGTGATCAGAATGCATTCTTCTTCCTGGAGTCTCTTTGTGCATTTTCAGGCTTTTTCTGGATCTTTGTGGGTTTTGTTGTTGTTAGGATCCAGTTGTTCCTCCACTGTGGTTTTATCTTCTAGTAATCCAGCCGATTGGAGCTTTTTGTTGTGTGTGAATCCGTGCTGAGGATTTTGGGCTGTTTGACTACCTGTGGGTTTCTTCTTCTTCCTGTGAATAGTTTCTAGCTCAGAGTTTCCTGTTTGACTGTGTTTGGTTCCTCATTTTGTGCCTCCTCTTTTTCTGGTCATTCCCCTCCTTCTTCCTCTTGTGTTTCATCCTTCTGTGGTGTGAGCACAACAGCAACTTCCTCTTTGGGTCACAGCAGAGATGTGACTCTGTCATAGCTCCAAACCCTGTGAGCTGCAGCTTTTCTTGTTACTCTCGTGCATTATGATGGGGAGCAGCCTGCGTTTTCAGGCTTTGTGGGTTTTTGTGGTAGTTAGGATCCAGTTTTTTCTCCACTGTGTTTTTATCTTCTACTAATCCAGCCAATTGGAGCCTTTTGTTGTGTGTTAAATGAGACTTGAGTTGTTGTGAAGCCCCCTGCGGTCAAACTGCAACATGGTCATGACAACTGTGTGTTTGGGGCAGCAGCCTGTTGGCTTGAGAGGATCCAGGGTCCTGCATGGCTGCTTCTCCTTCAGGCTGATGTGCAGGCCCTCAGCTTGCACTTCTTCCAAAGCACAAAGCCTTCAGGTGTCCTCAGCAGCCGTCTCGGCCTCCTCCTGGTCTGAGAGCGGCTGCAGGTCCCAGCCTGGACCACAGAGAGCTGCCAGCCTCTCTCTGTGTGGATGTGATGCAGCATGTTGGGATCAGACTGCAGCACCTCTCAGGAGACTCAAAGATTAACTGCTGACGCTTCGTCTTTTCTGCAGCTCTGCAGGCAGCAAACAGCTCTTCTGCTCATGG